ATTATACTTCTGCTAAATGGTGCAATATAGAGCATAAAACAGTGTTGTTGTTTCATCCCCCCCCTTTTTTAGGTTGGAGGAGATACTCTTAGTGAGAGGGTTTTTTTAACCAAAATGACTGCCCTGGAAATTATCTGATTGATGCAGGGGTAAAATTTTTTTACTCGTTTCAACACAAACAACATACTAGACCCAGAGAGCTTAGGTGAAAATGGAACTTCTGTAATGTAAACTCATTTATTTTTTCATTATATCTGAGGAGGAGGAAGAATCATCAAATTGTACAAAATATTCTGGAAAAAACCGAGAGGCATAATTCCAAATTGTACTGTTGTGTGGTATGGTGACTGAGAGTCAGCAGCAGAATATAAGGAAGCAGTCTTAGAGTGGTTTTGCCATATTGCCAGTTTAAAGACAATATTCCCTGAAATTAAATAATTCAGGTTTCTATGCTACTTTGCCTTTTTATGCCCTTTCCTTCTGGCTAGAATGGGAGGAGGTAAGTATTAACCATAGTATCACATTAAATCATAGAATTATTTGTGTTGGAAGAGACTTTAAGGATCATCTAATTCCAACCTCCTCCCGCCAAGGGCAGGAATGCCACCAACTAGATCAGGTTGCTCAGATCCTTGTCCAACTTGGCCTTGAAGACTTCAGGGATGTGGCATCCACAACTCCTCTGAGCAACCTGTGCCTCACCACCCTAACAGTAAAGAATTTATTCCTAATATCTAAGCTAAATTTGTCCTGTTCTAGTTAAAAACTATCACCCCTTGCTCTGGCACTGTCTGATTGTGTAAAAATCACTTTCCCTCATTTTTATAAGCGCCTTTTTAGTACTGGAAGGCATTCTAAGGTCTTCCTAGTGCCTTTTCTTCTCCTATTTGAACAACCCTAACACTCTCAGCCTTTCCTCATAGCAGAGGTGCTCCAGCCCCTGATCATCTTTGTTGCCTCTTCTGGACTTGCTCTGGCACATCTATGTCCTTCATACGCTGGGAATCCCAGAGCTGGATGCAGCACTCCAGGTTGGGTCTTAGAAGAGTGGAGTAGAGGGACAGAATCATATCTCTCGACCTTCTGCCAACAGTGTTTTTTGGATGCAGCTCAGGACATGTTTGGCTTTCTGGGCTGCAAGCACACATTGCTGGGTTGTGCCTAGCTTTTCATTCATAAGAATCCCCAAGTCCTTCTTGGCAGGGATGCTCTGAGTGAGTTCTTCTCATATCTGGAGTTGACCCAACCCAAGTGTAGGATCTTGTACTTAGTCTTGTTGAACTTCATGAGATACACATGGGCCCACTTCCCGAATTTGTTCAGGTCCCACTCTATGACAGAGAAATTAAATGTCATAAGGGAAAGGGCCTGGAAAAGGGCTTCAAGCAGAGCATGGTGCTAATAACACCAAGGTTTGTGGGTTTAAACTCTGTATGGGCCATTCACTATAGACTTGGACTCAGTGATCCTTGTGAGTCTCTTCCAACTCAGAATATTCTGTGAATTAATTCCAAGTATAAACTCTAGACAGGGCAAAGCATCAAAGTGCCTGCTGAAAGAAGAGACATGATGCTCAGATGGATATTGATGGAGCATGGAGGGTGAAAGGAGACTGTCAGAACAAATTAACCTGCGTCAGACTATGTGATGAAGGCCCTTGGAATGGGGTATCACAGAATCAATTATGTTGGAAAAGACCTGTAAGACTGAGTCCAACTTGTGGACCAAACACTACTGTATCAACAAGGCCATGGCACCAAGTGCCATGTCCAGTCTTCCCTTGAACAGGGACAGTGGCTTCACCACCTTCACAGGCAGCCCATTCCAATATCTAATAACCCTTTCTGTAGAGAAATTCATCCTAATGTCCAACCTAAACATCTCCTGGTACAGTTTATGGCTATGTCCTCTCACTCCAGTGAAGGTATGTCCTTGAGGTCCTTCAGTGGTCCCCATTTCTAGTCCATTACTACTCTGAAGGAAAATATTAAACATACACAGTTTACAGATGACTCCTGATGTTTTGGTTGGTACTGATTCCGTCAGAAACAGTGCTAAGATGAAATTTTGCCCATGGTGTTATGAGATGTGTTTGCAATTTGATGTGCATTTTTAAATAGGAGTAGGAAATGTTTCCATAAATAATACGTTAAAGAGCTCAGTCTTAGCTCAAGAGTTAAGGGCTTGATTTCTAAGTGATACATAGATGACTTCTTATATTTTATTTTATTTTAGTAGAAAAATTTTCTCATTGAATTCAGTAGCAGTAAGGCAGCAGAAAACCCACATTTAGTGTGGGGATGTTAAGAAAACACTGAGGGAACGTTAAGCGTGTACTGTAAGCTGTGTGGGCATTTTTGACAAGGCATGTAACTCATGTGTGGGAATGTGGCCAACTGTTTGCAGCAGAAGCAGCAGTTCAAGAAACTTGTATTTTTCGGCTAACTTACTACACATAATTTAGGGCTCATATTTTTTTTAATGTGTTTTATAAGGAACAAGAGTATGCAAGTATATATATATATATATATACACACAAGTATTCTTCTTTTACAGTGTAAAGGTAAAATAATAAGAAGGTTTAAATATGCTCTGTAATGCTGTGAAACTATTGAGGTTTTGACAGGATTTTGAGCCCTAAAAACAGGCAACTTAAGGTTTTAAAAAAGTCTTTCCATGCCAGCAGAAATGAAGAATTAGTGTGGTAATGGGTGATTGAGAGATTGTTTTTGGAATTACATCTAAGATGGTTGTGAGGCATCTGAGATAAAGGGCAAAGAGGAGGAGGCAGGCTTTAAAAGTTCATTGCACATAATCATGTTACCTTCTGAGAAGGGGAATGCCAAAGCTGTCCTTGGAAACTCGCACTGTAAGAGAGGATGTGGCTTGTCAGTAGGAGATGGTCATCGCTGAAGGAAGTAGAGAAGCTTAAGGTGTAGGTTATTCAAATGAGATTTTGGAAGGATTGAAGAAGCCTACAACTTCCTTGTGAGGGGAAGCAGAAGGGCAGGCACTGACCTCTTTTCTGTGGTGACCAATGACAGGACACGAGGGAATGGCCTGCAGTTGTGTCAGGGAATGTTTAGGTTGGGTATTAGAAAAAGCTACTTTGCCCAGAGGGTCACTGGGCACTGGAACAGGCTTCCCAGGGAAGTGATCACAGCACTAAGCCTGACAGAGTCCAAGAAATGTTTGAATGATGCTCTCAGGCATATGATGTGACTCTTGGGGCTGTCCTGTGCAGGACCTGGAGTAGGACTCAATGATCCTTGTGAGTCCCATCCAACTCAGGATATTCTGTGATATTATGAGGGAAAGGGAATGGGAAAAGACTCAAGTTTTGAGCAAATACCACAATGGGAGAAAGTATTGATGTACCTGCTGAAAGGTAGGAAACTCAGATGATTATTGATAACACAGTGAGAGGAGGAATGGAATCTTAGAATCACATAGTGGTTGAAGATGGAAAAATCCTCTGAAGATCATTTAATTGACCTAATCGTAATAGTAATCTAATGTTTAATTTTAAATAAAAATAATTTTTAAAACTCCAAACCCCAACAAAACCCACAAAATCTCAAACTCAAACCAGTCATCAGAACACTCAAATGTGTAATGGTAGAGCTCCAAGTAGAGTGATTAAGTGATGCCTTACAGATATGATATTTGAAGACTTTTAAAATTGAAACTAATCTTGACTTTATTATGGACTACTGGAGATTCATTTTACTTTTTCATTCTAACTTTATTGCTGATTTCTCATTACTGTAATTAAATGTGCAATTAAATGTAACTTCTATGAGCTCTTTCCCGCTCATTTTCTTGTCTGTTTTATTCTAGAGTTATATAAATGTCAGCTCTGTGGCCTGTCTGGTCTTGTAGCTCTAATGGAAGTTCCTAATGTTATGCTGTGGTGTCTTGTCTCAGTCTGGAGAAATGGCAGCCTTTGTTACAGTTGTATTTGCTTTGCTAGAGACCAATGAATTATGTGCTGTTGGATCATAGGCAATGTTTGTATAGTCTAAACAAATGAGGTTGTCTTGAGAACTTTGAGTTTTTTTCTTTCTAAATAAATGATCTTCCTTCCTGTGCCAAATCCTGAAACTCTTCTCTGCATTAGATGCCAGAAGAGTTTTGAATTTTTATCTGGAGAGACCTCAACATATTAAATGGACAGAAAACATTTGTATCTGAGACAATTTAAAGAGTCCACCTGTATCTCAGAGTTTTAGTTCTATCTCTTTTGGATGTTTTTGTGTATCTAAGGAACAGTGAAGATCCAGGAAGATACTCTTTTTCCATTAAAAACAGAAAGGATATATTTATTTTGCTAGTAATGTGGGAAAAACTTAACTTAAAAAACCAATATTACATAAATGAGTCTTGGTAAAGTGTTTGAAGAACACTTTTATAGTAGAAAGCTAAGACTTTCAGGATTAGTGGAAGAGAACTATAATAATATTGCAATTAACGTTCAAAATGCCTTTAAAAAAAAAAGTCTGAAGAACAACCAATCAGTTAAAAGGAGAATTTTCAGTTGTTGTCAAGTGAGAATAATTAAGAAAATCTGTTCTGTTAATGCATTTGTATAAGCATTCATGCCAGTTTCCTGAAGTATTCATTCTTTGCAAAGGACTAAATACTCTCACCTTCTTGATTTCCAGTGACAGTGGAGACTATGTAGTACTTGTGTATTAACCATTTGTTATCTTTTGAGTTGTAAATAAGCTATGTATTAACATGAAGTTTTGGGAAAAACTGTTTTAGTTTTTTTAAATTTTTATTTTTAACCTTCAGACACATTTTAGTGAATATGATGTTTCTTACTTGGAGAATTGTCATCACATCTTAAATACTACTTTGCCATTATAACCTAATTTGAACAATGTTATATGCCATCTGTGCTGGAAAAGGGGTTTGATTATATCACAAAAAGGAATTATTTTGTATGTATCAACTTTATCTAAACCAACTGTTTATTTAAACTCTTTTTTTTCCAGAACTGTGAGGACATGGGATGTTAACAATGAAAAAAAGCACAAAAGTGTATTTAAGCCGCGATCAGTTCAAGGGAAACGGGTGATTCCTACAACTTGCACATACAGCAGAGATGGTAAACTTATTGCAGCTGGCTGTCAAGATGGCTCTATCCAGATCTGGGATAGGAATATGAGTGTAAGTCAAGTATTTGACAACTATATGCTTCTAATATATCAAGTACTGAATATTGAAGCTGATAAAATCAATTTTGGTAATTTATCTTTTATTTTATTTCCCCTCCTCTCCTTCCCCCTCTGCCTTGAAAACTAAATAACTCATAGTCATAGCTTAATATTGTTTATATCTTTCTACAACTGATCATTCAGTGTGCTACCATTCAGTTCAGAACACTGAGAAAACTGTTGGTACTCTCTTTGAAAAAAAAAAAAAGGTTGGCCAGATACCTGTACCTAGAATATTATTCATTTAAGGTGCGGTGTGTGCGAGAAAAGCTGTAATTACTTGTTAGTTCTTATGTAATTTATTTGAGATATTCAATACATTAAGAAGTAACTCTTAAATCTTGATACTGAAATCAGTTATTAATCCATGTAGTAGAGGAGAATAGCATCTAAGCAGGTGAGGATAAGGCCAGTGCTGCACATTAAATGGCAAATACTGTCATATCGTCCAATGTGTAAGAATTAACACTGAGACAGATCTGAACAATTCATGTAAATGCATGAAAATGACTCAGAAACAGAATGGAAACTATTTCAAATTCTTCAGAATTATGAAATATTTATGTTCATATTGAACTCAAAATTGAATTTTCGATAGTTAAGACTTGAAGTGACAAAGAATATTAGAATTCTTGCTACTCTGAAGCTTAGAGCAACCAGTGCTCACTGTTGCTTTGTATAGTATAGTTCACAAACCAGTCCAGTTCCAGGAGTTTGATTTTTGCAATGTCAAGTGCAAATTCACCAGGCTAAGCTTTACTGCTTCTAAAATTAATCATCTTAGTAAATCCTCCATATCCTCTATGCCCACCTTACCCAAGGAAATAAAAGGAGTGGGATAAGTACCAATAGTGTGCATAGGAGGAGAAAATGAGAATTGGGTCAATTTTTTAGAGATTACAGAGGAAATGGGGCGGGAAGGGCAGGATCCTTTGAATGAAACTGACATCATAAATCTCTGAAAGCTGTACAATTCCAGTAGGATGACCTGGGGGAAGTAACACTGAACTAGTACAGGTTATGTTAGTCTGTTCAACTTCATCTTTCAAAACATTTGATTTTAAAAGAGAAAACAGACATTTTAGGGAGCTTTTCATGAAGATTGAAAAAGATCTGATTGCTGGAGGCAGGAGGAAATGTATAGATTTAAAAGGAAAAGAAAGTCTGTTGATCATTCTCAAAGTACAGCCTGTATTTTGGGATTGTCATCTATTTTTATTTCTGTTTTTATTTCCAGTATAAACCCAGTAAAACTTCCTAATGGCATGAAGCTTGAGAATTCATCCTAAGTGTAAACTTGTTCTAACAGAATAATAAATTTTTCAGAGACTGGCTTTCATCACCTGTGTATGTTGTTTATTTTAACATATACAGTATTGAAATATTAAGCTTTCTGGTGTAGTTTTAACAATAGTGCTCTTGGTAGTCTGCTTTTTCATGTGCTTTTCCTTTTGAACTTTTCTGTGTCTGTAAGATGACATATTGCAATACTGATTGAGTGCAGTTTAAGGTGATTATGAGTAATTTAAAGATATATCCTGTGCATCTTGTGCACCAGTGGGTGACCCTTGTATAGCAATGCAAGACTGAAGTGATCTCCTAGTGGAAATTAAGTTGATGGTGTCCTTGGGTTTGTATTTTTAAAGTCTAAAGAATTTTTGTCTTTGCCTTTGTTGGTACCATTAAGAAAGGTACAAGATTTTTGGGTGAAGGAGCAGTATAAATTGAATTTTTAGTGGTATTGTTATCTAAATCTGCTGGTGTTCTCTGGGATTCCCTGTGTATAGTTAGAATCAAATGTTCCAAAAGTAATCATGATCAAATAGTTAGAAAAAGCCTTCATCTTACATTTGGGGATGGAGAAGGGATAAGTAAAAATTTTTCAAAAGGAACATGTGTTCATCATAACAATTAAAAAGAAGAGGATGAGACTGACTCCTGCAGTGGAATGATGAAAGCACTTACTGGCCTGACAGGATACAGAGACGCTTGCAAAGGCAAACAAGAAAATGTTAAGTCATTATAAACTGGTGCAGTTCTGGGGCTACGAAATTATATGTGACACAGGAAAAAAGGTAAAGCTGTGGAGGACTGAGATGTGGGGGGTAAATGCCTGAAGAAATATATAGTAGAAATATTAACTTCTGATTTTTAAACAGAAAATTTTTGATTCCCATTTAGCAAATATCATTTGGCTTAGTTGAAACAAGTGTGGAGCCATATATACAGACTTTACTGTGCTGCAGTGCAACTGTGTTTCCAGTCAAAATTAACAGAGCATTTTTGTTTAGTTTGAGAAGGGTCTATTGAGTCAGTAACAAAAATCACTGGTTGAAAATAGTTGATATATTTCTTATACTTGATCAGTTAGAAATAATTCTGCATTGTTTTAGACTATGGTTTGGGACCAAACTATAGGTTTGGTCCATATGCAGCAGGAAGAAGGAAAGATTGAAGATGTTTAAAACTCTAGCTTATTTGACTATACTTTCATGACAGGGCTAACCTAATAAAGGCCTGTTGTGACTGCTTGAATTTGGTTTTGCCTTTATGCAAAAATATAAATGACATTTCATCCCTGATCTTGCGTACCTGTCCCACTGCTCCTGCATGTGACAGTAACAGAACAAACTAAATCCGGGAAGATGTTCTATCCAGATATTATGGCTCATATGACATAGACATCCATAATGCCTGTTATCCTGGTGTCTGTAAAGATTTTTAGATGCACTTATTTTTGAGTTGAGTACAAACTGCTGCCAAACACAGAGCCCACTTGAAAAAGAGCGAAGTTCCTCTTTGCTTCAGTGAAAATGTAAAGCCCCTGCTTTCCCACAGGAGAAGGCTTGTGAGTGCAGCACAGAATCACAGAGTGGATAAGGTTGGAAGGGACCGCAGTGGGTCATCTGGTCCAATCTCCCTGCTCAAGCAGGGTCATCTCAGAGCACATGGCACAGGATTGCATGCATTACTTCTTCATGTATTGAAGTACCAAGCAGCAGTTCCAAGGACAGAAGTGAACACCCCAGCAGGAAAGAGGGTATGATGATGCCCTTTCCTCAAGCAAAAGGGGCGCTTGTTAGAAGCAGGCACAGTAGTGCAGTGCTGCTGGGAAGCCACCACAATACCACTTGACAGGGTGACAGAAGCCACCTGATGAACTCCCACAAATCTCCCCTTGCCACTGTAGTCATGGTTTCTGATGCTGGCATAGGTTTATTATTCTCTGTTTCACGCATTACTTCGTACACCTGACTGCAGGAATCCTATCAATGTGATTATCAGAGGGCAAACAAATTAAAAATTAACCTGTTGTGTGGTGGCATCCCCAACGCCACAGTCACATCACTTGTGTTGTACAGTGCTGCATAGTGTAGAACTTGGTCTAGAACGGCACAAATAAATAATTTTTTATTTTTAAATTATTATTATTTAGAGAAAGGCAAGGTATTTTCTACAACATGTTTTATCAGTCCTGATGAAGTCAAAGTAGCTGTTTCTTGTAAGCTAATTTCATTGGTTAGTTGTTTTTTTCCAAGCCATTTTAGAGCCATCTCAGTATCTGCTTTTTTTTCTCAAATTATGTTGTTGTGTGTAGGAAGTAATTTTGGTGTGTGATCAGTTCACTTCTTAAGTTCTGACTAGTAATGCACACCATGAATGTTTCATTCAGTTTTCTACTTCCACTGTTTTTTTGGTATGATTCCAAATCTCCCAGCTGTATGTAGTGAGAGTAAAAACACTTTTAGAACTTTTGGAGGAAGATTTTTTTTTCTTCTTCATGACACTGACATTGGTAACTTGTTAATTCTGAAGTTAGCCAAATGCATTCCTGCTCTGTCTTGCATTTCTCCAAACTTCCTCAGCAGGATCATGATCCATTATAATCACCTGCCTCAGAGGATTTTTTTGTTTTGTCATAAATCTGTGTTATTTTCTCACGTATGTTATTTTGTCAGTGTATGGTTTTTCTTTAAGGTTCACGTACGTGTGCATTTACAGTGCACATTAGCAGAATGATCTGTCAGTGTGTTTGAAATATTATGAACACTGTCAACTTGGCTTAAAATAACAGCTTCAAAGGACATAAAAAATAACTTCCTTCAAACTTCGAATGAATAGTGGAAACAACAGTGTGAAATAGTCAATCATAACACCACACATTAGAACTCTCTGAATTTAAATGTTCTGAGATGTGGAGAAAGTCTCTGGCAAAGATGGAGAGCTGAGGAGCGTTAGGGGTCAAAGTAAGACAGGATCTTGAAAATTACTGATTCACAGGGCAATTCAGTAAAACCACAAGTTTTATCTGCAGTTCAGATAGGTTCCTCATCTTGCCTGTGCTTGCCCACTCAGGGATTTTTGCAAGCCAGTATCTCTTACAAGTAGTAACAGATATTTCTGAACAAACTGATCCATGGAGCCAGTCTTGAGTATCAAGAGTGCAGGGTGTCCTGCAATCGGTGAACCTCTGTGTGCCTGGTTTTCCTGTCTAGGAGTGGGAGTGTCTCATTCATAGAGATATGGAAAGAATGAAGTTATTTTTGAAGTGTATTGTCAGTTAAAATCTATTGAAATCTCTTTATTGAACAGAGAAACTCCCCTCATTTTCCACAATAAGGATAAGCAATTTCCAACAGGATCAGGATGTTTTCCAGTCATTACAAACAGGATTTTTTTGAGTTAACCTTTCTTAATCTTTCAAACCAGCTGATGAAACTACCTGTTGTGTGAATTTTTAACTCCAGCTTTTCCTGAGTTTATTCAGCATAAAGAACTTCTCTGTATATGGCAGCCTGAATCATGTTGCTCAGTTTCACACATCACATATTTTACAGTATATCATTCCAGCTGTCATATAAAAATATTAATAAGGATGTTGGGGAGGCAGAGTTTGTAAGAAGTGATCATGCCTTCTAAATTTAAATACCTTTAGGAAAGCAGCTTGTACAC